ATTAATATTCTCCAACCACAAATTCAAGTCCCCACAAACCAATAGTTTTTTCTCAAACTTCGAAAATCTGACCTCGCGAAAATATGTGATTTTACAATATGTTGTTATTTTAAAGATATGATAGGTATATTGATTATGGCAATTTATTGATTTCCCTTTCTTGGACAGTAAGTGCCCCCTTGCTGGTGTGGGCGGGAGAGTGCTGTAAAGCTCATTACGACATACTTCTGTCCTACAACAAGGAAAAGTGGTGTGACGACTACTGCTGTATCCAGTTGGGAAAATACGACTGCTGTAGCAATGTCCTGTTTCAGGCGCCATCTAGTGAGAGGGAAGACCTTTGCGCTGCTTACTTCTCCCAACACGAGTGGGTTTAACCATAATAGAACTGAATTTCTCTCTCTCTCTCTCTCTCTCTGTCTCTCTCTCTCTCTGTGTGTGTCTGTATGTGTGTGTTCCTTTGCCATCTGGAATATTTTTTCTATGCTACAATATTTAAACAATTTTAAAAATAGTCTTCCTCTCAGAAATACTAGTCATTCAATATATTGTACCACCCTTATTTCTTATCGTAGTTTGTAATAAAAACTGAAAAAAAACACTGATGACACAACCGAAGATAGTTTTGCAATCTACTTTTAAGTAATATTCCTGAATCCTATATTATCAAATTAAGATTAGAATGACTACATTTGATGATGACAATTGTACATTAATATGATTTTATACTGCACTGCTAGCTTTGTTGTCTTTTCATGTTTACGTGCAGTATATAAACAGTATATTCAGATCTGATTCACATTAAAATTAAACATAACAGCATAGTCAAAAAATCTTTTTTAGAAAGATGTCTTTCGCATTTTCAGATTAATTCGTTTTAGATAAGGGAACGGGAGTGTAATGGTTCAAAAATTACTTTTTGAACTTTTATGAATACACACTAGTAAAATGTCTCTCCTTCATTTACGCCACGGCATGCAACATGGATGGCAAACATTTGAATTGGAATTGGTATGATAAATGACTGCTCTTAAATTCTTTTTCATTGCAAGTAAATTGTTCTGCTGTTTCATAACTTATGTTTGTAAGTTGTGATTTATACACATAAAATCTACAGTTTGCATGTTTGTGTTATTATCAAAAATGAAAAGCTTTGTTAGTAAAAGCAACTTCTTCTGTTTTTGGATTTCTGGGTGGGTTGCTGTCAGTACTATCAGTATTTTGATTTATTTCTAGGTGGGTGGCCGTCCTGATAGGACTGGGCTGTATTGCTGTGTTTGTGGGGATCATTATTTGTATCTGTAAATCGTGCTGTGGCCACAGTAGAACAGGTGTGGTGATGCATGGTGCAGCAGGACCAGGTAAGAATGTCAATCAACAGGTAAGAATGTAAATCAACAGGTACGAATGTCAATCAACAGGTAACGATGTCAATCAACAGGTAAGAATGTCAATCAACAGGTAAGAATGTCAATCAACAGGTAACAATGTCGATCAACAGGTAACGATGTCAATCAACAGGTAACGATGTCAATCAACAGGTAACAATGTCAATCAACAGGTAACGATGTCAATCAACAGGTAAGAATGTCAATCAACAGGTAACGATGTCAATCAACAGGTAAGAATGTCAATCAACAGGTAACGATGTCAATCAACAGGTAACGATGTCAATCAACAGGTAACGATGTCAATCAACAGGTAACAATGTCAATCAACAGGTAACAATGTCAATCAACAGGTAACAATGTCAATCAACAGGTAACGATGTCAATCAACAGGTAAGAATGTCAATCAACAGGTAACGATGTCAATCAACAGGTAACGATGTCAATCAACAGGTGAGAATATCAATTAACAGGTGAGAATGTCAATCAACAATTCACATTTGGATGTTTTCACCATGTAACAGATATTCCTAATGAAAAAAAAAAGTGTTTATTTATTTTGGGCTAGTCATGAAAAAGTAACTAACTTAATTATTTTTTAGGTGTTACGGTGGTGAATTCAAACACAATGGCCACACATCAACAAACCGGTTATCCAATGCCACAACAAGCCGGTTATCCCATGCCGCAACAGCAAGGTTATCCCATGCAACATCAATCGGGTAACACAATGCAGCCACCACCAAGCTATCCAGCATAATGTGGGTTTCATCTAACCGGAATCAGTACTTAACAAAGGATTGAAGTTGTAGTGAATTTAAATGACACAAAGTAATGCCAAATCAGATTTCTCGTGATTTTTTTTAGTTCTAATATTTAAATGGAAATATTTCTTGCACACTTTGAGTTGCATTGTTTATATCAAATATATTTTCTGCTGTTTAATCTCCAAAATATTGGAATGGCCATTCTTTTATTTGCAAGCTACAGGAACAACACTTTTGTTAACATAAAAGCAAGAAGGAAAATGTGTCCTTTCTAAAATGTAAATGATTTGTTTTGAATTAGATGTATTAATCAGAAAAATCAAACAGATTTAAGACTTGGACAACTGAAAAATACTGGAGAACTGTAAAGACGCTTAATAATAATAAAAAAAATGAATGAAAGTTTCTTTTCTAATTGTTTTTTTTATTTAGTTTTTTTTTTCTTTTTCATTATTTTTATTTATGATTTTGCTTTGGGTTTTTTCTGGCAAAATCTTTTATTATTATATAAATGAATATGAAGAGTCTTTTTTATACTTGCCATACGATGTTAATGCTTTATGTTCATATATCTAGATTCGTAATTTAACAGCAATTTTTATTCCTAAGACAAGCAAAACCTGAAGACCATTGCTACTTTCGAGGAGACAACACGTATTTTCAAAATAAAAGTATTACTAAAAAATAATATCTTGTGATTTGTCAACAAAATTATTTTGTTAACACCCCCCCCCCCGATTCTACAATAAAGTATTCTGCAGTGATAATCTTTTTAAAAAAGATGTATAGTTCCTTGCTGACAACATTAATTAGACGTCGGGGATTTACTATTGGGATAACAGAGAACTACATGTAGTATTTGAAAACCCTGTGATATCAACTTACTTTCCAGTAACGTAAATCGGTTTAAAAATCAGAGAACCTAGAATATTCTCTTACGTATCAAATCAGCTGTAATACATGAGCACCATATGCAGGTGACAGTGGCTTATAACTGTAACATATAGGAAAATTCATCCAGATCTGTGAACGTCGAAAGAGTCATTAAATTATCCAAGTATAAATCAAGTACATTCCATTTTTTTACTTCTAGGAAGAGATATGTTACTTATTTTAGCAATATTTAATTTTAGTTGTATGAAGACTCTGCAATATCATCTTACTCTTCTTCTTATGTCGATAAGATATATCCTAGTGAGCTTTAAATAAAAGTAACCGAAGTCAGTGTTAAGGTTAGGGTTAAAAGTCAAACAAATCTGCTTCATAATTGCACATTTACTAAAAAAAAATACGTTAATGGTAACCTGACAACAAAACTCTTTTTAAAAAACGTGATTATTTTTCGTCAATTCCCTAGCTGTAGCTATAACTTCCCTTACTTATGCAGCTATACACCATCATCTGATTACTTACATATGGGGTTTATATTTTTTAGAAGAGCATGCTCTTTGAACAATATCTAAAGCAAGTTAAGTTATTGAAAAACAAGTCACTGATTTGTAACTTCTATGGTCGATACAGTGACCCTGTCGACAAAATACAGTCTATCATCAAATCAAAAGCTGATTTACGTATTTCATACTAATTGTTAGGCCATTTTTAATTAAACACTGAACTATCAACAGATTTCCTGTTACTTTCCAATCATGAAAAGGAGCACACGGCGGGTGTGATCGGTCGGCAGGGGACGCTCACTCCTCCATGGCACCTGGTGCCACCTCTGATTTTTTGGAGTTCCGTGCTTGCTCTGCTTCAAAATTTGTATTATTAATGTTTTTAGCTTGAATTCTATTCGTTATCACCATATACTTCATGCAATGAAAGATATGAAGATAAGTGACATCATTCAATATCAAAGTCCATAAAACACAATACAAAATAGGAGCAGAGCAAACACTCCGGAGGTGGGGTCAGGTGGTTAGGAGGAGTAAGATAATTTTTAAAGATATTCTAAATTTCATACCCGCTTAGTGCAGACCAGAGGTTTTGCGTGTTGCACAAAAATACAGAGATTTTTTTTTCATCAAAAATTGTTGTAGATGAGGTGTACAAATCCATATCTAGACATTAAAAGATTTCCTAGTCGGGGTAACATACATTCCTTAAACATTAGTTTGATAATTCAAAATCTAAGTAAGTTGAATTGAATAGTTTTGTTTTTCTATAAAATACTAGTAATATATGAATAAATATTGTTTTCCGATTAAAATGTTACTTTATTGCTATTTCAACATTCATAATTTCTAATGACGGAAATTGTTAAACTATATTGGGAATGAAAGTTTTCAAATAAAAAGATTAAACTTGAAACACACACATTCAGCGCATAATAAGCTTATAGGAAATGAAATCGGAAATGACCAAAAATTCTGTCTTCAATTCAGTGTATAAATGGACTATCAAAAAGTATGAAAAGCGTCAGTCAGCATTTGACTAAATATTAAATTTTATTTGCTGACAAGGTCATTGTATTGAACGTAAAACTTACGAAATACTATTAAAGACTTGAAACAAGAGACTGCTGATATTCTTGTTTCATCAACTTGCTTCTCGAAATTGTTCATGTGTTCTTGCGTATCAAATCAACTGAGATATATAAACTCCGTATACAGGTGACGAAGGTATATTGTTGCATAAGTAAGGGAAGTTGACGATTGAAAAATTAAAGCTATCACGTTTATCATAGAGCTTGGCTGTTAGATTACCATTAAGTAAAATATCCAGATATTTTTTGCCCTGTTAAGGAGTTTTCAATAATTCTTTAATGAATTACCGAGATTGGTCAGTGTGTCTGATTTTCACCTTTTGACATAGAAACTAATAATAACAACATGTTCTGATCTAAAATAACAGGTTTATTTTTAAATCATTAACAAGAAATACAACCGTAACTTTTGCTCAGTTAAATGGTAAAATAATAAACAAATGCACATGATTTAAATGAAAGTTGCAAGTTTATGAAGTGTTATTAATCACAATTGAAAACAAAAATCAAATTTGAGGTACCGGTACACTATTTGAAACATCATCCTGATTTTGCTATATGCGATGTTAAAAACACTGAATGAATATGTCATCTTGGCATAAATAAATTCATATCTGCTAATTTAGTTGTTAAAGGTATAAACAATGTCAATTTGGTGGTAGATAATAAAATTCCATCCTTCTTTACCTGTATATCAAAAATGATAATTTTTCTGCAATTTGATACACAATTTTTATCAATCAATGGAAAAAATATAAAATCAGGGAGTTCTATACTACTTAGTATATGGGTCCCTGAGAAAATTAGGAGCAAAATTATTAACATTCATCTTCATTCTCAAGAATACTGGCAAGATTCTACAAATACAGTTTAGGTCTTTAATCTGAATACAGTGAAAGGACTACTTGATTACAGATCTAGTCACAGTTTTATATTAAACTGTTCCTCCATCTTTGATTTGTATACTTTAAATTGATCTCTTAGTTTTTCCTTGACATTCTCCTCACAGAAAGTGTAGTTTATACTTTGTTCTGATAGATTCCATAGGTCACGTTGTTTGAGGTCAAAAGTAGAAGCAGCCAGTTGATACTCTTCTGACATGGAGGTACTAAAGACACCTTTATCATCCGTCTGTAAATGAGAAAATCATAACAGTGTGAGTCTAATGTTGGTTACATTTCTATAAGAAAATTGATAAGTACCAGTACATAAAATGAAATCATATATGTTTTAAATAAGGTAAAATAAAGGTGTCCCCATTTAGCAAGTTGCGTTAATAGAGTCATTTAATCAAATACAAGTGTACAAGGAATATATACCGTAGTTCCTAAATATCACACAAATGAACTTGTATAAATACACTGACTTAAATACTACACGTATAATTTGTTGTACCTTACTGACTAGGTCACTGACTTACTGACTGGATTTGTGACTTAGTGACTTACACAAATGACACAGGGGTGCTCCTTCTCATACCAGAACTTGAATTGATGGTTGTCAAGGTTTGGGACGGTCTGTCCAATCAGATTAGAGGTCAAGCAAAGCTCTGTAACAATCAATACTAAATTATACATTACTTGATATAAATTATTTTATCCTGTAATTTTTTCTCTACAAGCATAATAAATCTTTACTACTACATGTAATATTATTGTTTCCTTGGTTAAGCTAGATCTTGAAATAAGATAATCAAAGAACTATGAAATTTAATTCTGGTATTTTAGAATAAGGAAAAAGAAGCTACCGGTATTCATGAATGTATCAGTTGCTTAAGAACAGCATCCATATGTATAGTAATACCTAGTGGAGTATAGTGTCTACATATATAGTTATACCTAGAGGAGTACGGTTTTTAAGAACAGTGTTTTCAAATTGCTGGTTTCCCCCTGCCTCAGTATGTAGAAAGGTACCATGTCCGATCCTGTCTGGGGGCAGGGTAAGCATTTCCATTGTCTCCTCGGGGGCGGGAATCTGTGAAAAACATTAATTAAAAAATTACATAAATTGGCATATCCAAAATTTAACGCATTCACTCAGTATTTAGTTATTGGCATTGTCATGAATTAGCACTACACACTTCTGTTCCATACATTGTATTTAAATGATTCTTAGCGGTTTCATGATTTAGCACACTATTGTCTGCACAAAACCACTAAAATATGAAGCCCACTTTTTAAGCATGCATACAGTACATAACAGAGCTTCCTAAAATAAAATTTAGCATCACAAAAATATATTTGAAGTAACCTAGCTGCTTTGACTCCCATTTTGGTTCGATCTCCCCTTTTTTTTTGCTCTGAGTGAGTATTTGGTAAAATTCTCAGTGGCCCTGCTGGGCAAGTTTAAAGTTTAAAGGCATGTTTAGTAGCCCAACCTCAACATTCAGTTGTCCCGGGCCAGCGGGCTACCATTAGTGTCGAACCCTGCTCACACAGGTGTAAAGCTTCCTACCTCACACAGGTGTAAAGCCAGCTTGAGACCTGACTTCTGAGCTTCCCTGAACACGGGGAGGTAGTCCCTGGCATCACCAACCTAGTAATTATCACAACAAATATTACACAGACTACTCTAAACAACAGATGACCTTATTAACAAAATTATCTGAAAACATAAACATAGGTAATCAGAGATTACAGAGCTCACCTCAACGAATGTTGTCTTTAAGTAAGGCAAAGTCACACAATTAACCAACAAAAAGTGTACATTCCAAATATGAAAATATTTAAGCAATTTTGATCTGATACTTTGCAATAGACCTACATAAAAAATTTAAACTAGTTCTTCTTCATGAAAATGTAATCAAAATCCAGCATCTGAAGCAAATTTGAGAGTTTTCATCTCTTGATGCAACATTTGTGCAAGTTTGGTTTATACAATGTTATATAAGCCTTATAGTTTTTTGGTAATAGACCTGCACCCATAACTTTTACCTGGTCTATTATCTGAAAAATGTATGTCGAATTCAGCATCCGAAGCAAGTCCATTAGTGTGCATCCAAAGATGTATCGTCCATGCAAATTTGCTCATTATAGGGCTCATAGTTAATTGGAAATGAAACATGCATCAAAAACTAACATTTTCACTCATCCACAAAAAGTAGGTCAGATTCAGCATCCGAAGCAAGCCTGGTAGTATGCATCCTTAGATGTATCATCCATGCAAGATTGGTCATTAAAGAACTCATAGTTACTTGGAAATGAAACCTGCACCAACAACTTTTACCTGTTCACTCAACCAGAAAATGTAGGTCAGATTCAGCATCCGAGCAAGCCCGGAAGTGTGCATCCTTAGATGTATGATCCATGCAAGTTTGGTCAACATAGGGCGTAAAGTTACTTGCAAATGAAACCTGCACCAACAACTTTTACCTGTTCACTCAACCGGAAAATGTAGGTCAGATTCAGCATCCGAAGCATGCACGGTAGTATGCATCCTTAGAAGTATCATCCATGCAAGTTTGGTCAACCTTATAGGCTTATAGTTACTTGGAAATGAAACTTGCATAAAAAATTTTAACCTGTTCACTCAACAGAAAATGTAGGTCAGATTCAGATTCCGAAGCAAACTCTATAGTATGCATCCTTAGATGTATCATCCATGCAAGTTTGGTCAACATAGGGCTTAAAGTTACTTGCAAATGAAACCTGCACCAAAACCTTTAACCTGTTCACTCAACCGGAAAATGTAGGTCAGAATCAGCATCCGAAGCAAGCCCGGTAGTATGCATCCTTAGATGTATCATCCATGCAAGTTTGGTCAACATAGGGCTTATAGTTACTTGGAAATGAAACCTACACCAAAAACTGCACCAAAAATGTTAACCTGCTCCAAAACATTAACCTGGTCATTCCTTTGCTGAAATTGCAGCATCTGAAACTTTGACTGGTACAATGAAACACACTAGAACCATCTTCCATGCATGTCTAATCAATATAGGACATAGAAGTACTTAAAAAGAAAACTGCTCCAAAAAACTTAACCTTAACCCGGGACGCCGACGCCGACGCCGACGCCGAGGGTATTACATAAGCTCCCCCAACTTCGTTGAGGTGAGCTAAAAATAAATAAATGTCTTAATAATTAATAATTTCCAAACAACCCTTGTATTCTTAAAGAAATGAGGAATATATACTTGAAGACCTTTATTTGGTGGTATTAATTGTTTAGTGATTTGATTAACAAATTTTGTATCTGCAGTATAAGAAGAGGAATGTATTCAAAAAAATATATAAAAACTGGACTAAGCTTGCTCACACTTGGGTCACCACTCAAGTCCATCCCCACAACGAGATCTCCATGTGATTTTTGGAATTTCTGAGCAAGTCTCAGGGTCTCCCATCCAACTTTTACTCCATTCCGGCGATCAATCGCCAGGAGAAACCGCACTATGATATCTAAATCCCCGCAGTCTTGTATAGCACGTAATACAGACTCTACATAACTCTCTCGTGACATGCCTGTATCCTGAACTGCTCTGGGTGTGCTCCGGAGTTCCAGGTATTTCACATTGTCATCATGAAATTCATGTATTACATCACATGTCACCTGAAAAAAGGTGAAAAAGTCTGTAAATTACAGTCTAATTTTGTTTTCTCAAACTCAATGAGGCAAAGAAAAAACTTCAACATATCCAATGATTCAGCATATCTCTGGAAAGAGCTAAAAGAATAAGTTGTTGGACTTTCAAATCACTTAAACTTATCCATGTTATTTTGGTATCAGCATTCAAGATACTGAGGTTCAATTAAATCACTAATTTTTACATTAACCCCCTTCCCCGCAGTCATGCATTTTAACACTTAACCACTTCCTATTTCTAATGCAAAAATCGTGCATATACTGTTTCCCCGCAATCATGCATTTTTCATGCACTTTCAAAACTACATTTTATTCACAATTTATATATAAATGCCAATTCCCTTCAATATTATGTTTGCTAAAATCTCATGAAATAAGAAAAGTTATATCCTTATTAAAATATTACGTCATAATTATTAACGCTATACATTAGAGAAACTTGTACCATGCTAAAAAGTGCTTGCAGGGAAAAGTTAAATCATTATTTCTATGACGTGAACATTAAGAATATGTTGAGTCACAGTTCACTAAGTTGTATAGAGCTAACAAGGTAATGTTAGGTAATTATTACCTGGTAAACCGATTCAGTATTGTCTGTTAGCTGATGGATAAGGCGGAATTTTTCAAAGCACCTGTAACAGAAAAAAAATCTTTTGCTTTGTAAAAACAAAATTTTATACAGAATGTGATGTAATGTTTATAATCACTCTTGGATGCGAGCAGCTCCTGTCTATGGGATAGGCTTATCTACTGCAAAAAAAATCTTACGAGGTCTTGTCAGGATACCAAAGAAACAGAATGTTTTGTCGATCATGATTGTTTGAAAAAATACTTCTATCAAGATATAAAGTAATATTGATATGATCAATATATCTAAAAATTTTGGTCCAGCTAGGACCTGTAAAAATTCCTTTGGTCCTGTGAAATGTTTTAAACTGTCTATCCAAATGTCTTGTTATGGTGTCTTTTGTGAAGACTGGGAAACAGTGCAAATAGACTTCTTAAAACATCAGAGCTGGATTGAGGTGTCTGAAGTAAGCATCCCCTGTAACACGATGTGTGTACTCCTTGTCATGATCAGTAAAATCCCTAGACAATCAGTATGAATATCTGTCAACATTAAATTTAATGATGGAATTATTTTGCTGACAATGTTGTATCAACCATAGAATTCTGAAACTTAGATGTTAAATGAGACTATTCATGTCCTTGTATTATAAACTTGTTTGTAAATAGCTTGCCTCATTTTTAAATTGGTTCATAATAAATTACGGCAATTGTACATTTGTGTAGTTTTCATTCCACTTTCATGTTTTTAAATTAACTGACACTTATTCCTCTTTGATTCTATTTTATCTTACTCTTTAAGTGTGCCAGTACTTCCTTTCTTGAAGCTGAACTGTTGGTCCGAATTCTTTTTCTTGGCCAATAATTTCTGGATTGTGGCCTCACTAACTGATCCGTTGATATGTGCATGTAATTCCTGCAAATGATGTTTTCAATATTAAATCTTATTCAAGAGAATTAATGCAGAAACAGTTCTCTTTTTACCGATCCAGATTTTATTTTTTCATTTCCAGTTAAGAGAATTTCAATGACATCAGCTAAAGGAAAAAATAACAATTACATATTAATACTTACAACTTTGGGCAAGCTTTTACAAAATTCCTCCATTTCAATTTTCTGAATAATGTTTTTTTTTGGATGATTTAGCAGGTTTCGAGTAAATTCGAACTACACTTATATTTCAGACTTCGATCATCTAGTGTTCATTTCTGACTTCATCATATTTTGCGTTTTATCAAAATAAATACTGCATCATTAATTTTTCTTCAAGTAGAAACATTGGTCCATTGGATTTGCACCTGGGAAGCTTCTGTCTTCATTAGATTGCATTGAGCAGCAGCATTCGTCGACACGTTTTCTGACTCTGTTTACATCGGAAATGAATATAGAGTTACGCCCCTTAGTACAGATATTACATCCTGTCTGGAATCTGTGGATCGCATACGAAAGTTAAACCGGGTCCGTAAAACAATATATATGTTTTTTTTATAATTTAAACCAAAATGCAATCTAGAGTACTACATCACTAAAAGATCAAAGAACTTCTGCATACATCACTGATACATTACTAATGATAGAAAAAGTTGTTTTTGACATCAATTTGGTGCCAGGCACATTACTGGAAGAAGAAGAAGAATTTGGTCCCTATAGCTAAGGTTTAGATGAACACACAAAAAACAATATCGAAATATTAATATACAGGGCACAAGCAATCACCTTTCAAATGCAGATTCGGACACTCACAGAAAAAAAAATAATGTACATCTTATAAATTTCCAATAAATGAATGGCAAAAAAGGACTCTAAATCAATGAATTTGAAGAAGTAGAGTTTAGAAAGCGTGATAGGCGAACGTGAGGCAGATTTTTGAAAGTGTGAGAATTAGGAGGGGGTGGGGAGAAACAATTCAAATTAAGTATTAACCTGTAAACAAAAACATGACAAGCTAAAACAAAAGCATTTTATAAATAAAAATTAAAATCCGAAACTACTATATTTTGTTGGTGTACATGTGTGTATTGGGGGTGGGAAAGAGTTTCACTTTATTCCATGCTGCAACAAATTTATATTTATTAAGGACAGATGATACAAACAATTTTTTTTCTATGGTGGAGACTTAATAAATATGTCACAGTTTAAGAAAAGTGGATATTTATTAGATTTTTTTCTCCTTAGACTTGGAAAATGTTACAGTCTCTGTCTCTCTCTCTTTTAAAAATGACCTGAAATATACCAAACTTGCGTTTTGTTAAAATATTAATGCAAATTTTCTCGACCTATGGCTATGAAATATAAGTAATACATCAATAAAATAACAAACACGGACAAATCACACTCACTAAAGGTTTACAGATAAATGTCAGTGAATTATATACTTTAGAAAATTATACCAAGCCTGGAGAATTTTATGGGGAAAACAAAATGGTAAAAACCAGCCTAAGTGATTTTTCTGATTTTCTTATCATTTTGTTTTTCCTCATTAAACTGTTAACCTTTACTGAGTGTGATTTGTCCATATTCATTATTTTATTAGTATCACTAATATTTTCCAAGTCCTAAGAGAAAAATTTCTAGGAGTTATCCATGTGTGCATCTTTTTAAATCTGTGACATGATATTAATTCTCCTACAAAAAAAAAACTAGAGGTACTGTGAGCAATGAGCTCACTAAATGATACCCCCTGCCTCCCATATGAATATAATGGCAGTGTCCATGTTTTGCTCTGGAAAATCAAAAATAAATGTCAGATCAAAAAGTAAAATAGGAGGTGCACAATGGCAATATGTAATTAAGAATCTGTGAAAGTTTCATTAAATTTCCTTCAGTGGTATGAGAGGAGTTGCGGATAAGAGATGGGTACTCCAAAGCGTAACAGACGGACGGACGGAAATACCGATTACTATATACCCTCCCACTTTTCAAGCGGGGGTATAAAAATTGTTTGTATCATCTGTCCGAGAGAGAGAGAGAGAGGTAGGTTATATATTTATGAGCAATTCACAAACGCTAAACCATAGGGAACATAGACACATTACTTTCAAAATGTCAAAACAAAACTTATTTATGTTTTTAAATCGTTTTGATAAGAAAATTCGGATCTACAGATATACTGGCTCCTCCGATATTCCGAACATATCTTGACACTGTGGCAATGAACTGTTCTATCTTTCGTATTGATACTGCAATTTTTTTTTTTTTATAAAAAGAAAGCTTATATAAGGACCCGTTTTGCAAAAGAACTTACAGCAAAGACCAACATTTAATTCTGCTTATAACTTTCTGTTTTACAGGAATTTGAAAACGGTTTTTATTCTTCTTGAAAAGAATTTAGAAAGATATTTTAATGGTAACAATTTCAAAAAGAATATAATTTTAAAATTTTGCAAAATTTTTATAATCAACGTTTTTGGTCTTAGTCGTAAGTTCTTTTGGTAAACGGGCCCCAGGCTCTTTATAGTTCTACTTCATCTCATGGTAACATTACAGACTGTCATAGACTCTCTCTCTCTCTCTCTCTCTCTCTCTCTCTCTTCACAACAACACTAGACTATACTAGTAGACCTCATTTGCATTTCAGGTCATACTTTTTCTTGAAGTCTTCAGACCGCTGCAGGTTTTCTTGAATTATAATAGCTTTTAAAAGTTTACTTTTTAGAGCATTGCCCTGCACCGTACACCTCAACTGAAAGAAATTTAAAGCGTGGGTAGTAGAGTAAAAAATAATTGATAATAAATGGTCGTAATGCGATTTAAAAAGTAAAATCTCATGTGCAATCGATTTTTGTGTGCATATCCGAGAAGTTTTTGTGCATGAATATTCTTATCAACAAAGGAAAAGTATATCTGTACAATGAATAAAAAGTTTAAAATCCGGTGCTACGTAAGCCGTGATATGTAGACTAGACCTCAACAAGTACAATCCCAGCCTCAGTAAGAAGCGATTACAACGCATTGTGTATTCTTTGTATTCAATCATCTCTTTAAATCTACATATATACCGGTTTAAAATAATTTTCATTTGAAAAAAATCACCATAAAAATATCATCCTTTTACGACCCTGTCGGTGTATGGGCTGTCGGTCCCATTGTTTTGTATAACGGTGTATAACGGGTTAACATTCCTCTTACAGACGTAATACACAAGGTACCAGGTGTAAGATAAGAAACCCTGTTTACAGCACTTTTCCAGCATTTAAACCCAATCTGTAATAGAGTGATTAAACTTTTATCTTGGAGAATTCTTCTACCAGTCTCTATCGCTCTACAGCCGTGTAGCTGAGCCATCTTTAGGTTGTCGAAGTAAACATCCCAAAAGGTAGGTTTGTTTACGTTTATATATTAGTCGTGTGATCATTTGATACCGATCAGATGTTGGGGAGGGGGAGAGATGGAGGTTTTCACACCAGACGGGTGATATTCGTCTGTTGCTTTTTTCCTCCCACTCTATATCTGTGTCTTGGCACAGACAGTAGATATATCCTTGTTTCTGAGAATTTTACTTCAAAATTTAACTTAAGTCTTGCTCATCGGTATATAATTTTGTATATATGTGTGACGAGTGAATTAAACTTCCGTATGTTTGATCGTAATATTGCGTAACAAGATTATATTGCTTTTGCTTTCGTTGGCACTTTTTAAATCTTGATTTAAAAAGTCAAATGTTTAATCTCTATAGAATTTAACAGCAACACAAACATTCAGAATTCTCATCTGAAAAGTTTGTCAATTTTCTCTCTGGAATTCGTCTGAGAGCCGTAAAAAACAATGACTAGTGCTGTAACAATTCGGAGATTGCTAAGTTAGCTATATAGATACATTGACTAAACCAGCAAGTATCAGTAAATATTGAGAGAGAGAGAGAGAGAGAGAGATTCCAATCCTTTCTTTATCATTGACCACATGCCACAATTAATACTCAGCATGATATATACAGATCCAGAGTCAGCTGGGTTTACCACGTCTTGTACTACATATAATTCATAGAACTCTAAAACATTGGTAAACGTAACCGATGTACATTAAGCGGTCACTAATGATTCAACATTGGATCCTCGTACAACGATATTCCGCATTTGATTAAGTCTTTTATATTGAATTTAATGATAATTAATCGATCTCAATGAAATCAGCCGCATTTCAAAGGATCTCAGATTTATAATGTCCACTTTACATATATCGTGTAAAAATGAATCCTATCTCAATCGATGAAACATATGGAGATAACGAACAGTATTCAAGATCAAAAGTCCATAAAACAATACAAAACAGGAGCAGAGCAAACACAGATCACCAAAACATCAGAGGTAGGTTCAGGTGCCATGGGGGAGTAAGTATTCCCTACACGGTCACACACGCCCTTTGCTCCTTGTCATGGTCGGGATATAACGAAAAAAATCCGTCGTCAAATCAGTGTATAAATAATGGACTAACATGAAAAACGTCAGTCAGCATTTGCCTCAATGATAGTTTTTTTTTCTTTTTCTTTTCTTTTTTTACTGACAAGGTCACTGTATGGACCATAGAAAATACAAAATGATTACTTTAAACAAGACTGTTGATATTCTTTTTTGATCAGCTTGTTTTTCAATAATTTACCGTGTTTTAATAATTGTTCATACGTAGAGCATGCTCTTGCATTTCGAATCAACTGAGATATATATATATCCATATGCAGGTGATGAAGGTAGAAGTTAAAGTCATCACGTTTATCATAAAGCTTGGTTGTTAGATTACCATTAACGTCTTTTTCAAGTAAAATATCCAAATATGAAACAGGTGTGTCAGACTCTGTGGTATCTTTTAACTCAAGCCCACCAAGATATATCGTATCGACATATGAATGGAAATTATCATTGTTAATTGACAATTACGTCGTTGATATATCTAAATGTCGAGTTGAAGACCTCAGCAAGTGTTTTCTTCTTTTCACGAATAAGACTTTGCTCAAATTCTGCTTCATATGAATACAAAAATAGGTCTGCTAATAACGGGGCGCAACTGGTACCTATGGGAATTCCGATAGATTGTTGGAAGACCTGGTCTCCGAAAACCATATATATATTGTCAATCAGAAACTCAAGCATCTTTTTGATGTCATCTTCAGAGTACTTGTGTGTGCAAACAGAATGTGTTTAACCAAAATAATTTTGCAAATGACCAATGACAAGGTACTTAGTAAATTTACGGATTCCATTTTTATTAAAAAAAAAAAAAAAGCAGCTGTCAATAATATCAAAAGCCTGGACTTTAATTTATCATGGGGAATGGTTGTGTATAAAGTTGAAAAGTCGTAAGTTTTTAAGCTGTTGATTTTGATTAAATCTTGTGATTTTAAATTGTCCAAAGTTAAGGTTCCTTGGAATTCTTAAGTATCCACATCTGATTTACACCACTTCTTGAATATATTGTTGCACAGTACTCTTGTACTTCCTTAGTTTGTTTCTTTTACAATATACTAGAGTAGATGCCTCAGTATATTCAATTTAAATATCTTTAGTTTGTTTCATATACAATATAAATGCCTCAGTATACACTATTTTAACATCTTTATTTTGTTTCTTATACTATATAAATGCCCCAGTGTATACAATGTCAATATCCTTTGTTGGACTCTATACAATATAGCTGCATTCTTGTAAAGCTGCCTTTGTGTGTACAATTAATCATCATTGGTTCGTTTCTTAAATAATAAAGCTGCCTAAGTGTATACAATGATAACATCCTAAACTATATTTCTACACACTATAGACGCCTTGATGTATATAATGTCATCGTGCAATATAGATGTCTAAGTATACACAATTTAAAGATTCTTAGTCGGTTTCTTATACAATATGTATGTCTAAGTCTATACAATTTTAACATCCTTAGTTTGTTTCTTATAAAATATAGATGCCTCAGTATATACATTATTTCCAAATCCTTAGTTTGTTTCTTATACAATATAGATGTCTCAGTGTGTACAATTTAAATATCCTTAGTTTGTTTCATATACAATATAGATGTCTCAGTGTATACAATTTAAATATCCTTAGTTTGTTTGTTATAAAATATAGATGCGTCAGTGTGTACAATTTAAATATCTTTAGTTTGTTTCATATACAATATAGATGCCTCAGTGTATACAATTTAAATATCTTTAGTTCGTTTCATATACAATATAGATGCTCAGTGTATACAGTTTAAATATCTTTAGTTTGTTTCATATACAATATAGATGCCTCAGTGTATACAATTTAAATATCTTTAGTTTGTTTCTTATACAATATATATGCCTCGGTGTATACAATTTAAATATCTTAAGTTTGTTTCTTATACGATATATATGCCTCGGTGTATACAATTTAAATATCCTTAGTTTGTTTGTTATACAATATAGATGTCTCAGTGTATATAATTCAACATTTTTAGTTTGTTTCATATACACTATAGATGCCTCATGCAGTGTATACAATTTAAACATCCTTAATTTGTTTCTTTTACAATA